ATGTTAAATTGTAAACAAAGTACAGGTCGCATTTATGATCCGAATTGGATGAAATTTGGTACAGCTCATTTGTTTGGCCCAAGGACGAACCCTATTGAAATTGGGAAAAATCGGTTCAGATTTAGATATAGCTCCCATATATATATTTTACCGATTTAATGTAAACGGTCCCTATATATCTTTCGATTTACACGAAATTTGGTACAGCCTTATCATTTAGGTCTAGAATGATGTCTGCCAAGTTTCATGAAAATCGGTCCAGATTTAGATATAGCTCCCATATATAGATTCGTCCGATTTCATGTAAATGGTGCCCCAAAGTCCCTATATATCTTTCGATTTGCACGAAATTTGGCACAACGTACTGAATTGAGCCTAGAATGATGTCCGCCAAGTTTCGAGAAAATCGGTCCAGATTTAGATATAGCTCCCATATATAGTTTCATCCGATTTCATGTAAATGGTGTGCCAAAGTCCCTATATATCCTTCGATTTGCACTAAATTAGGCATAACGTACTGAATTGAGCCTAGAATGATGTCTGCCAAGTTTCGAGAAAATCGGTCCAGATTTAGATATAGCTCCCATATATAGTTTCGTCCGATTTCATGTAAATGGTGACCCAATGTTCCTATATATCTTTCGATTTACACGAAATTCGGTACAGCCTTATCATTTAGGTCTAGAATGATGTCTGCCAAGTTTCATGAAAATCGGTCCAGATTTAGATATAGCTCCCATATATAGTTTCGTCCGATTCCATGTAAATGGTGCCCCAAAGTCCCTATATATATTTCGATTTGCACGAAATTTGGCACAACGTACTGAATTGAGCCTAGAATGATGTCCGCCAAGTTTCGAGAAAATCGGTCCAGATTTAGATATAGCTCCCATATATAGTTTCGTCCGATTTCATGTAAATGGTGCCCCAATGTCCCTATATATCTTTCGATTTCCACGAAATTTGGTACAGCCTAATCATTTAGGTCTAGAATGATGTCTGCCAAGTTTCGAGAAAATCGGCCCAGATTTAGATATAGCTCCCATATATAGTTTCGTCCGATTTCATGTAAATGCTGACCCAAAAGTCCCTATATATCTTTCGATTTGCACGAAATTTGCCATAGAGTACTAAATTAGGTACAGAATGATGTGTGCCAAGTTTCCCAAAAATTGGTTCAGATTTAGATATAGCTCACATTTATAATTTCGTCCGATTTAAGGTAAATGGTGCACCAAAGTCCCTATATATCATTCGATTTGGATATAGCTCCCATATATAGTTTTGTCCGATTTAATGTAAATGGTGCACCAAAGTCCTTATATACCTTTCGATTTGGATGAAATTTGGGACAGCGTACTGAATTAAGTCTAGAATGATGTGTGCTAAGTTTCGTGAAAATCGGTCTAGATTGAGATATAGCCCCCATATATATTTTCGTCCGATTGAAGGTAAATGGGGCACCAAAGCCCCTATGCATGCTTCGATTTGCACGAAATTTGGCATAAGGTACTGAATTAGATCAAGAATGACGTGTGTTAAGTTTCGAGAAAATCGGTCCAGATTTAGATATTGCTCCCATATATAGTTTTGTCCGACTTCATGTAAATGGTGCACCAAAGTCCCTATATATCCTTCGATTTGCACGAAATATGGCATAATATTCTGAATTAAGCCTAGAACGACGTGTGTAAAATTTCCTGAAAATCGGTACAGATTTATATATATATATATATATATATATATATTCGTCCGATTTTATGTAAATGGTGCACCAGAGTCCCTATATATCCTTAGATTTTCACGAAATTTGGATTTATAAGTAAATGAAGATATCGGTTTAGATTTCGATATTTTGCTTTAAATTTATTTACATAATTTCCCATTGTAAGAAGCAACTCTATATCTGACCAAAATTTAGTATAGGTTGCGGAATGAAATGTTTAATTTAATGTTAATGATCATTCAAAAATGCGACGTCCGTTAGGATCCCATCTGTTGAATATACCCATAGTGGTGAAGGGTATCATATAGTCGGCCCCGTCCGACTTTACTACTTTCCTTACTGGTTTTTTTTTTTGAAAAGACAAACACATCAAAACAGAAACGAAACAATAAACCCCACATAAAGCCCCGACGCCATTTTTATACCATTTTTATACCCTTTAGGCTAATGAGGGTATACACTTTGATACGGTGAAAATGTGACTCATCGAAATATTGGTTTTAGACCCCATGTTTCTTTAGACCAAATCCGTTTCAGAAAATTTGAGGCCGATTTAGCCATGTCCGTCCGTGTGTTGTCAGCACGATAACTTTCGAAGGCAGCAAACGATTTCATTCAAACTTTGCACATCTTAATATTTCGTTCAAACTTAGTTTAAGTTCGAAAATGGGGAAGATCGGTCTACTCCTTCTAGTACTCCCCCTCACTAAATGGTCAAAATTCTGCTAAAAATTAATTTTTATTATAACATGCAAACGGACTATCCGATGTTAATTAAACTTTGTACAACCTTTTGTCTTTACCAAGCCTAAATCAGGTAGCAAGATGGGACCCATTGGTCAACTCCCTCTAATACTTCCCCCGCAAATGGTCAAAATTTTCAATATTTGTAAATTCAATATCAGGCGAATGGAAAATCCGAAGTGAACCATACTTTGCACAATCCATTATCTTTACGAAATCTAGATTAAGTCCGAAGATTAGTCCACTCCTTCTGGTACCTCCCCCACAAATGATCAAAATTTTCAATATTAGTAAATTAGTAAATGGAAAGTCCGATTTGAACCAAACCTATTATCTTTACCAACCCTAGATCAAGTTTGAAGATGGGACCCATTGGTCCACTCCTTTTGGTACCTGTCCCATAGTATAAAGAGTTCAAGAAATGTGACAAGTGTGTCCATATGAAGAACTAGATCCACTTCATATATTTAAATGGTCCCTGGAAAAAATGATTAAATACTCGAGTTGACAAAAGAACATATATTAGAGGAGAGAGTTTTATATTTGTTCGCCGACCCACAACCCAATCAGACCAGTGATGGGGCCGATTATATGTACAAGAGATGCTATTAAGAAATACGTAGTATTTTTGATGGACCTTTGAAGAACTATGAAATCGGAAGAAATAAAGTATGTCATCAGTGTCTATAAGAGGAACAACAAATTTTATTCTGCAATCTATGCGAAATGTCATTTCAATCGAAAATTGTAGTCGGTTACCTACCATTTATATGAATCGGACAAATTTCTTTAAATCTGGATCGATTTAAAGCAAGTTTGACACCCGCTATGCAGTATGCTACAGTATACATCGCACTGTGCAAAATTGCATCTCAATCAAATTGCACTACTTGGATGAAATCGGTCGAAAATATATATATATATATATATGGGAGCTATATCTGCATCTGCACCAACATCAACAAAACTGAATATCGTGATTCTGGGGTCAATTTGGTACCTTGTGCAAAATTCCGCCGCAATCGGAAAAATGTGGGTATTTGGGGTACCATTTAAATAAAATTGTCTGAAAATATATACGGAAAATACACAAAAATTAAAATCCATTTATCAAACTTAACATACATTATTTGAAACCAATTTCAGTAAAATGTGCAAAAGTTTGAGCAATTCTGACAGAAATTCGAATTTTGGAGCATCATTTACATAAAATCGTAGTAAAATGTTTATGAGATCGAAATGGGCCTACTATGTGATATCCTTCACCACTTTCAGTATATTGTACAAATGTATCCTAACATGTCAATGACCCCTCGAAGAAGTCGTTTGCATAAAATGGGACTAATTTATGGAAATCGATTTATAGCAAACTTGATACCGGCTATTCGGTAGCCTCATGCGACCTGTACTTTGTTACACGTTTTCATTAAAATTGATTATATTTTAGGATATGCTAGGTAAAACAGAAATAGAATTTGAATTCCTGGACTAACCCCAATAAATCAATTCAAAATAAATAAATACCAAAATAAAGTTACTTAGGTTACTTTTCGCCATAAATGTCAATAAATTCTAATAACGCATTACGCATAGCCAGCAAAACAAAACAGCAACAACAACAACAAATATTACAATGTAATAACAAACAAATATAATCTCTAACGGTACCTTTTGCAACAAGTCGTTTTATTGTTGTACGGACGAAAAAGAAGTTGAAAGCAACAACAACAATAACAAAACTTAACGAAGAAACGGCAATTTCTTTAACTCTGCCGGCGAGAAGTGCCAAAAATGGAAATGGAAGAAGAAGGAACTTTTTGTCGGGGGGTACTCTTTGACTGGCGCTGAAACTTCTCGTTCATTTCTAAGTCGACCGTTGTCGTTGAAAGTCATAACGCGCGTCTCGGTATTTTTTCCATCCCCCTACAACGGAAAGTTGCTGTTGTTTTGTGTGTTAAAACAAAACACCACGCATTCACCCTCTCACCCACCTCACAATTCTGTGTTACTTTAGTCCAATAACAACAACCCCCGTTTGAAAAAAACAAAAAGAAATTTGTCGATTCCCTTTCTATATTGAATTGTCTGCTTAAATGAAACCAAAGTGAACGAAGCAAAAAAAGTGTGTTTTAAAAAAACAACCAAAGTGTGGGCTTATCCAAAACCTTAAAAGAAAAATTAAATTAATTCCTATAAATAAAGTAAACAACCTTAAACGTTTATTGTGAATTCCAATTGAGAGTGTTAAACGTGCCTATATATTTTTTTACAAATTTTGAATTCTTTTTGCCTTAATAAATATATTGCGTGAATAAAATATATTTTCTACTTGAATTGTGCCACGTTTTTTGCGATATATACGTACTTATATCAATATATAAGTTTTTTATTATTTTAAAAAATTACTTGTGTATATTTATTATTTTATACAATTAAAACAAATTGAATTACTCGTTGTCTAAGTGAGAGTGGGAATAAAAAGAAGAAGAAAAACGTCCGCGTGTTCCAAATTCGTAGTTTATCGAAATCATCATGTTTAGCACCAAATCCACTTGCTTTTTGGGCAATCGCCGTTCCATATTTGATTTTGCCGAAAAAAAGGAATTACTTTTGGAGTAAGTTAAGAAAACAAAAATTGCTTTGGAATATTATTATTTGTTAGAATATTATTAATTTTATTTAGTAATATTTTATATTTTTTATTATATATTTAATTATATTTAATATTTTTTTCCTAATCCTGTATTTTTTGTTTATATTTTATAAAATAATAATATCAAATTAAAATCCATTATTCACGCAAATAAGTGTTTATGTGACTTAGTCGTTTTTGTCACACATTGCAAAAACTATTTCAAGGCCATGTTTCTTAAATGTCAATCACATGGACGAACAGGTCTTACCATGCTAACAGGTGTATGAGAAATTTGAACATACTGATGGAGATAGAAAGAGTGGAATAAATGAAATGGGAGAGATGTTATTCCGCTGTAATAATTGAATATTTATCATTTTCTTTGGTCTCACTCTCCTAAAATAGACTCTTCTAAATGGATTGTAATATTAAACAATATGAAGAGAATTAACCATTGAGAGAGAGACAGTTCAATTGTGAGGAAAGTGTAACGGAGTTGCCCCAAGTTGGGAGTATTATTTCTAATTGGGACTGCCAATTGGAAGTGGAGAGTTCATTGAAATTAGTTATTGTTGTTGATGGAAGAAGAGAGATTGAATATTACCATTGTGTAAGAGATTGTATAAGAAATCTATCATTGTCGTTCTCTTTTTTTACAGTGAAGTAGCCTAATAATCAAAGATGAGCAGCGTTGATGCGTTCTCTTAAGATTTTTGGTTGCTAAATCGAAATAAACATTAAAGAAATTTTTTAATGAATAATTTGTTTACTTTTTTTTGTGTTAAAAACTAATTTTATTAAATCTCACAAAATGAACCTTAACAGGAGAACATATGTCAATTTTTGTTAATAAGAAACCTTTTGTATCATTTTGGCTCATAATTAGAAAAAAATGTAAATAAGTGCTCTAAATAAGGATTAATTTATAAAAAATCAGTTTTGAGTAGTTTTATGTAATAGAAGACACGACTTTAATCTCAAATTCTTTTAACCTCTAAAATGCCTTATTTAGCCAGGCCGATAATTGGATAACAGGTTCCCAATGTCGGCAACATGTTTTATAATTGTAATATTTTAATAAATAAAATTATTTTATATAATTTTTTCAATACAACACTGATGGAAACGTCCTATAATAATAATTTATTAATTTTGTTTACTCCCCGATGCAATGAAAATTTGTTTAATTTATTTTGTATTAAAGTAGATTAAATTGATAATTAGCTAAAATAGAGCCTTTGTGCCAATAGTCAGCACTTTTTTCCAATAGTCGGCATGTCGTATTTATACCCTTCACCACACTGTGGTACAGGGTATTATTTAGTTTAACAAAAATGATTTTTTAAATTAATTTTTCTGATATTTTAATTAATATAATAAATAATTAATAAAATAATATTATCGGAGTTTCCATCGGTGTTGTATTAAAAAATTAATATAAAATAATTTTATTTATTAAAATACTACAATTATAAAACATGGTGCCGACTTTGGGAACCTTTTATCCAATGCTCGGCATGGCTATATAAAGCATTTCAGAGGTTATAAAAATTTTAGATTAAAACCAAGTCTTCCATCATGAAAAACTACTCAAAACTAATTTTTTGTAAATTAATCGGTATATAGGGAACTTATTTAACATGTTTTCCAATTTTGAGCCAAAGTGATCGAAAAGGTGCTTATTATTCACCCATATGCCGACTATAGGAAAACCTAAAAAGTGTTGTTCCTAAGGGCGGCATCGATAAAAATGTTATAATTACAAATATTTTTTAATGATTTTAAATTCTAAAGAATTCTCCTCTATGTTCTTTACAATTACTAAGAAGATTCTTGTGATAAATATATAATTTTAATATAGTTACAAGTCTTTTAATATCGATATGCCCACTAATTTTTTCTTAATGAACTTGAATTTTCCCTTGCGTTGAAAAACCTCATTGACTAAATGCTAAATTTTGACTGAATAAATGTACTGAACTCGATTATGCAATGTTATTTATGATTATTCAAGGTATTTTTCATATATATATTATAGAAAAACAGATGCCGACTATTGGTACATGCCGGAATTAGGTGCGTTTACCCTATTACGATGTGCACATTTTGAATGAAATCTCTTCGAGGTATCGTGCACACCAGACGGACAGACAGATATAGGGACGTTTAGACAGTTATAAATGGACTCCAAATTGTCTGAAACGGATTTGATCTAAAGAAAATTTGTCTAAAACCAATATTTCGATGAGATACATTTATGTCGGAGCAAAGTGTATATACCCTAATTAGCCACAGGGCTGATTGATTTTGAATTAACTCGAATTTGTTTAATTTTGCAATTTATAAATTTGATAAAAAATATTATAACAATTTTTTTTGTTAATACAGTCGAGTACGCTTATAACCGCTTATAACAAACACCGGTTACAACGAAGTTTTAAGACAGATTTTTTTTTTTTTATTAGGTCCCAGCTTCAGATTTTCATTTAATTCGGTTATAACAAACAAATTTCTTACAAATATACATAATATTTAACGATGAGAATCCGCACATAAGTTAAATCCCTAACGCTAGCACTCTTCACAAAAAATTGCAGGCTCATCAAAGAAAATATAATTAGGTATTGTTAAAAATGACTGTCTATTTCGGGACTGAATATTTTTGTTTCTACCCAATAACAGCTGATTAGATTGAAAATCGTGCCCATATGCTTTAAAATACCGAATATGGATGGATACAATTTTATGGGGGCCTATCATATGATGTGGACCGATATATCCCATGTGTCAAATTTTAAGACTCTTTCATAAATATTGCGAACACGGAGATGGCAACAACACAGGATTGAAAATTTCAGTTTTTCTTCGGGATATATAAAATTCCAAATAGCAGCCGATTATGTCTAGTTTTTTTGAAAATATATAAAATAGTTCGCAGGTTAAGTCGCTGAACATTTTTTTAACATAAGAGAATCCGAAATTTTAATTAACGCCATTTTGGTTGAGAAAAACGAATAATCTAAAAATTCATAAAATAACGAATAAAGATATTAAATTTTTTCAAAGCATGGAAATTCTTTGGAAATAATCCTAGTATATATATGATGAATGTCTTAGCAGCATTTTCAAAATGTCTACTTTTCATTATTAAGGAATTTTACTGTCTACATTGGAGGGTATACATTTTTATACCCTCCACCATAGTATGGAGGGTATATTAGTTTTGTTTTTCCGTTTGTAACGTATCGAAATAATCATTTCCGACCCTACAAAGTATATATATTCTTGATCAGCGTAATATTCTATGACAATCTAAGCATGTCCGTCTGTCTGCTGTAATCACTCTAGCGTCTAAACGAATTGAGATAGAACACCAAAATTTTTCATAGAGTCGTCTTTTGTCTGCAGGCAGGTCAAGTTTGAAGATGAGCTATATCGGTCCACGTTTGGGCATAACTTTTTAGTATTTATTTTCAGAATTTTGGGATTGGTGATCGCGTTTTTCAACCGAATTCGCTTAAATTTGGAAAAATGAGTTCCTTTCGGATACCAAATTTCTCCACCAAAAATTATAAATATAGGTTTTGACCGAATTGGCTGTATTTTAGTACTTCGAGTTCTTATTGGGTACAAAATTTCTCCACAAAAAATATTATAGATATAGGTCCATTTTTCGGGTAGCCCCCATATAAGGGTACCCTCCAATTTTCGATATTTTGGGGTTCTTGAGCACGGTTTTCAACCGAATTCGCTGTAATTTGGTATTTTGTAGTCGTATATGGTAACAAATCTCCCTACCAAAAATTATTAATATTCATCCCCTTTTAGGGGTAGTCCACTTATAACCTCTATTTTTATTTTAAAAAATGAGCTGATTTTTTCCGTGTGTTAGGGTTATCATATATAGCTGTATTCCACCATAGAAGGGGGGATATTGGTTAGACGAAATTTTCAGTTCATACCCCACATAGTAAGGAATTCTAAAAGGATTTAATCGATTTAGCCATATGTTGTAATAATTTTTCTCTCGGAGGATATCGACATAAAAACTAAAACGTGAGGTTTGAGAATGAACTGTATCGACCCGCATTTAGGACCAAGTCCTATATAAAACATCCTACCTATTTCATAATAAGCGTGATGGACAGTATTGGGATTCAAAACAAAAATATTAGCTTGGAACTTGAGCTACATCGGCCCTTAATTAGGCCTAACCCCTTATATATTGAAAACACCCAGTAGTTGCTAATTCCTACACAATGTTGTCATATTGGTCCCGCTTTAGTATGCCTCATATATAATATTGCCTCTATATTGGAGTATTTTCAGGATTTTATACACATGTTTCACCGTACCATCCGTTACTAATATATGTCAACTTTTTAGGGTTTTGAGATTTTAGGAAAACCCCCATTGGAATTTGCTGAATTTTCTATTTGGTTTACAACAATCGTTTGGAAGAATTGTCGTTATTATGTATGTTCCCTATGTTTTCATTTCAAAAAATTTTCAGTGTTTCTATGGTGGAGGGTATCCAAAGTTCGGCCCGGCCGAACTTAACGCTTTTTTACTTGTTTATATTAAAAAAGATATATGATTTGTTACGCGTTTTGAGTTTGGTTCTAAGACTCTGTTAAAATCATTTCACCTACGGAGGATAGCGAGATAAACAATTAGAACATAAGGTTCGATATTGAACTGTTACCGCATTTGGACCTAGCACCTGTGTGAAGGTTCCAGTAGGAGTAGACCGATATTCCCCATCTTCTAATTTGAACTAAGTTTGGAAGAAATAATAAGATGGGCAAAGTTTGGATGAAATCAAAATTTTCTGAAACGGATTTGGTGCAAAGAAACATGGGGTCTAGAACCAATATTTCGATGAGGCACATTTTCATTGTATTATGGTTTACATAATCCGCTTTTAGAAATGTCGGTATAGGTCCACTTATTGGTATGTTGCCTATATTTTCATTTCTA